CCCCCCCTGTGGACCCTGCTAGCCACTTGATCCTCCCCATGGACCCCAATAACCCTCCTGTTCTCCCCCAAGAACCTGCTTGCCCACGCAATCCCCCCAAGCCCTCTCCCCCACTAGTCTCTCCCCATCCTGACTTGCCTTAGATTAGGTGGCCATTTTTAATTCAATCTAACCTCATCAAATGTCTGTACATACCCAAGGCTATGCACAGGTTACAACAGGATCTTTCATGAAAAAGTGAGAATACTTCTAATAACAAAGATCTCTCTTTTTCTGGGAAAACTTGAATAGCTGTATGCTCCTGAGGACCCCCAGTACCCTCCAATGCCCTACTCTTCCTCCCTTCCTGTTGGAAGGAAGGAGGGAGGGACTGCCCTGACTCCTTGGTAGTCCACCCAGTGCCGAGCTGTCAGGAAGCCCTGTGGAGATCTTGCTGCATTGTCCTGCAGCTGGACCCTTCCTGGACTTGGACAAATCCAGCTGTGGGAGAATCCCCCCTGCCTAATGCACATCTCTGGGTGACTCAGAGTTTGTGTGGGGCAGGAGGCAGTGTAGCTATCTAGCAAAAACATGGGAACCTGTCTGCCATGAGAGCAGAAGGGTGCAAAGAAGAAGCTCCTTGAAATTTGCAGCACTGGAATTTAATGCTTGTTGCTAGCCAGTGCAAGTTATTGTGGATTTTGATACTAAAATGCACATACTGGGCGTACATTGTAATTTGCAAAGACTAGAATGGCAAAAAGAAACATGATGAATTTTTCATAATCTCTTCTGCAGTCCCTCAAACTTTAGAAAAAGAGGCTACACATCACAATTATTATTATTTATATGGAATGTATTCACCACCACAAGTATGCACTTTAAAATTATTTATTATTATTAATAATAATAATAATAATAATAATACTTTAATTATTTATTTGTTCATTCAAGCTATCAGGAATCCAGAGATCAAAGTGTGAATATCTATTACTTGTATAATAACAGACTCATTTCCCTTATTGCTTTAATTCTCTGCTAATCCTGATCTTTAGTTCTTTGTAAAGGAAGCACATTAAAAAAAAAATCACACAATGACAATCTCTATAATTTGGGTGCTTCACCCGTCTCTCCCTCCCTAGCTCTCAATCCTAGTCTCTTTGTCTACCTGACAGCAGGTTCCTGGGTTATGAGTCCCCATCTCCACCAAGCTCCCAGTTCCTGTCTTCTTGTCAGCTAGTCACCCCCTCAACTCCAGTTTCCTAGTCCCAGTTTTTCTTTCTACCCTGTCAACCCCACTTCAGTTTTCATGCCTCTCCATACTCCTGTCCAACTTTGCTCCTCCTTCACCACTTCATCCAGTTTATGTCCTCTCTGTCTTTAAATATGGCAACTTCCTTCTCCTTGCCAAGCAAGCAAACAGAGGCTCATTGCTTTCAGTCCAGATACCTGGACGTAGTACAGCCTGTGGCAACCCAAAGTAAGGAAAGTCCTGTTCCGCCATGGGCTGTAGCGTGTCCAGAAAAATGATTTTTTTTTTACATAAATTAGCTGCTAAAATCTGAACACTGAAAAATGCATCTGAATGGTTATCCCAGGACTGCATCATTGAATCAATGGCAGAAAAAGTGGCAGTGCATTCAGCTGCTCACCAAGCCCTGGTTAAAAGGACAATGTGTGTACACACCAATTCTGAGGAATTTCCATTTCAGGACAACACAGGCACATCTGTTGTCCAGGGACATCTGTTCCTAGCCTCAGAAATATATTCTCTGGCTTCTTTAAAATAATAAGTTTAGATGCCAAAGAGGAGAATAAACAGGAAATATATCACTAGATATACCTCATTCAATGTTCTCCCCCTAAAGTAAGAGTGCTCAACCCCCATCCCACAGGCTAAATCCAGCCCATGGAGCCATGGCATCTAGCCCACAGGGACCCCCATGGGGTGGAAAATTTGGCAGAAGAAGAGTGCCACCACTCCTCCCCACTGCCGAATAACCAAGCTCCATGTAGCTGGATACAGCCCTGCCCCAGCTGATACTGCACAGCTGCTTCCCCGTCACCCAGTCTCTCTCCCCTCCCCCCCATACACCTGGCTTAAGGTTGGGTCACCCACATATGGCCAGATCATGGTCAGGCCACTCCCTATGCCCCATCCCCACCATCTGCTTTGCAGCAGGGTCACTGCCTACCTCCCCCAAGCATCCGCAGTGACCCTTCTCCCCTCCCTACCCCACACCCTGCAGCACTGTCTATCTTGCCCACAGGGTGTAAAGGCTGGGCATCACTGCCCTAAAGCATACACCCCTGCCATAGTCATTTACAGGTGGATCGACCATTGGTCTGCTTCATCATGGCACTCCTTATGTTCTTATGAGTCTTTTTCATTTTTCACAGACCAAGGACACACACTTCCTTGAAAATTTCATCCCAACTCCAAATTTCTTCATAACTCCATGATATTTAGATTCTTCTGGTGCTTATCACTTTTCATTTTTGCATGTTGCTGGTATATTTAGCCCATAAATCTGTAGCAAGCCTATATACTTTGTCAGAAACACTATATCTGACATTCACAAATCTGTTTAAAAGCTGACCTCCAAAGATGAAATGAATGTAATTCACTTACTGTACTGTAGCCTAGTGTTACAGGTTGAACAGAATGTCTCTAACAGCAATGTCTCAAATGTGCCCAAGGCTACAGAGAGTCACTGCCAGCACTGGAACTGGAACTCACAATTTCATTGCTCTTACTCTATTATTATCAATATTATTATTTATATCAAGGCAGCACCCTACTCTTCATGGACCATGGTCCCACTGTGCAAGGCACAAAGAACAAAGAGACAGTCTGTTAGAACAAAATGTCATACCCTCTAACCAAAGTTTAACTGCATTCAACAAGAGCTATATCCATGTACAATGCACAGCAGACTGATACTCTTGAGGAAAATCAATCTTTCAATAATTAGTTCTAATAAAAAATTAAGAACTTATTAAAACAATTAGTTTAGAGAACATTCTCATTTTCAATTTAATTAAATATTTTTAAAATTATACTTACTGCTGAGGTTTTCCAACAAAAAGTTTAATAGAGCCATGAATCCCGAGAGTTGAGTAAGATTGAAATTCATTTCTTTAGCCCACCAAAATCCCAACAGATAGTAGTCTAGTATGACAGCTTCTTTCAAAGATGTCTTCAGTTGCTTAAAATTCAGGAACTCTTCTAGTTTTCTATGGGATATAATTGAATAATAGGTACAAAATTAAGCAAGATATTCTTACAGTATGGACACAAACATATTTTAATCACTTTAAAAGGAAAGTGTGCAGCAGCTCTTATGATTTAACTGTTATGTCTCCATGATTCTGTAGCAATACAAGTTAGCTAAACTGCCATAAACTTGACCCTGAATAAAGCAGGATTATCCATGGAGGGCTTTTACTACCTAATAGTGATACAGAATCATGCAGTTCAGATACGGGTATCCTTTGATATTGTTACAACTGTTACACCTTTATTCTGTTAGAAATCACAGATATGTTCCTGAGACTGGATTCAGCTATACTAATTTGTATATTAGTGCTCATTAGAGGACATATCCATAATTAGAAAAAAAATCCTCAAATTTTTAAACAGCGTTATTTAAATATGCTAACATACAATTTATAGATAAGACCATATTTATCCAAATCCAAGACAACTTCAAATTTAAAATGACACCCAAATAATTAGATTCTGTGTGTGGAAATTTTTTAATTTGTTATAATTTTCCACATACAGAATCTAATTACTGGAGGGTTGTCTTCAATTCATTCTCTCCAACACTGTGATGGGAAAAGCAGTGGCAGGAGGCAAGGGGCCAAATCCTGCCCCTCAACCCCCATGCCTTGCTTTCCCTGTGCCTGTCCCCACTGACTCTTGCCCCACCCCACTGTGCCTGTGCATGGCCATCTTCTGCTTGCTCCCTCCCACAACCTGCCCCCCCCACACACAATTCCTGCATATCTTCTGCGGTGTTTCAGTTCTGGCTCCAGCTCCAGGACAGTAAGCATTGGTGACCCCAGCCCTGGCCCAGCCTAGCCCAAAAGCAGCAGTGGCAGCTCCAGAGCCAGAGCCAAAGCTAAAGGAAAGGAAAGGAACAGGGGAGGAAGAAGGGGTAAGCTGCATGGTCGTCCCCATGCTCTCCCCAAGCCACGCACTGCAGGTCTCCCCCATGCACCTCCCCACTGTGCAGTCTCCCCTGTACACCCTCTATCCCCAACACACAGTCTTCCTTATGCTACCCCTACCAGGCATCCCCTTCCCTGCCACGAGCTACCATGGCCCAGCTCCAGCTTCAGCCCTAGACCCAAAGCTAAGCCACTGCCCTGCCCTGGGCGAGTACTCAACTTTAAGACAAGACCTGTTCTCCTCCATGTTGACTGAGGGAAGAAACCTTGTCTTGATTCAAGTATTCATGTGCATTTTCAAAAAAGAGATGGTGCGAGTGACTTAATGTTTGTATCAATGGATGCAGCTGAGAACTTCTTTTTTATATGTGGGTATTTGTTCTTGTCTTTAGGGTGAAGTTTGGGAAGGAATAAAATAACAAAGCCATATTTCTCCTTCAGAGTAAACATATAACAAAAATAAAGGAGATCCAAAATTACAAATTACTGAGTGAAGCATAGCTCAAAAGTCAAGAAACAGCTTTAATTTAAGTAAAGGAGGGTGAAAGGAAAATATGGTAAATGCATTTTCATATGAACCGACTAAAGGAGCTGGAGCTCCACTTTCCACAGTCATAAATACACCCAAAAGCATAGCTGAGGTTACACATCACAACCACATGACTTAGGCAGTGGCAATGCATAGGGGGTGCACCCCCTGAGAGTGCTTGTGGACACCCTGAAAGGCAGCATTCTCTGCTTAGGTGATGAGCAAGGGCGGCAGGTGGGAGCGGTGCCCCCATTGAAAGTGCCGGCTGTGGAGTTGCGGTGCTAGGGAAAGTGCCACTGGCACTTCCAGGCTTACCTCTGGCCCTTCCTGGTGTGCCACTGACACTTCAGTGTCAGCGCGTGCGACTAGCAGGGGGGATTCCCCTCCCCCTGTCCCTGACTGGCCGCTGGGGGGCAAGTGCCCCCCCGACTCAGGAAGCAACAGTCACCCATGAATTCAGGAATAAATGTGTTCAACAGAACCATACCCTGGGGCAGTTGTGATGTAGCTCCTGCCCCACTCAGCTCCCCAGTGTACCCTCCCTCTTACTCGTTCCTGCTACACCTTGATGGAGTTATTTTTTTCTGTTGTACAAGGGAGGCTGCCCTAGGGTCCCTAAGCAAGCCCTATCCTGCCTTGGCCAGTGAGTCCCTCCCATACCCAGCTCAACCTAGTCCTGTTTTTCAATGCCCTAAGCAGGGCGCCCCTTGGTACCAACACTGCTTCAGGGCACCAGTCACCTTGAGGGCTATTCATGGTCTCCTTCTACCCCTACAGACAAGCCCATACCTTGCAGGTATTATTCCTGATCCATGCACTAGCAGAAGACTTTACCCTACACAGACTCCCTGTCAAGTGTTTAGCAATGCAATTCCAATGGAGTTGTGGGTATGAGATCATGGAGAGAGTGGAGCCACCACTCTGCACAGAAAGGTAGATAACTGTAGGCAGAACTTTGGAGTATGATATAGCCTTAGAACTTGGTGAACAAAGAAAAATAATATTCTAATATTCTTCAAATAATTAATTTGAAAAATAGAACAAATAAGCTGATTTCAGCCCAGCTCTATAAATGGGGAAATTAACTTTTTTAACGTTCCATTGAGTAAACTTCAAAAAATACTGTGAAATTCAGTAACTGTTCAATATTATTCAGCTAATGAAACATGTGCCTGATTTTCTTACCTGAATCTTTCCAATTTTCTTTCTTTCTTAAAAAAAAAAAATAATCACTGGACAAATTACTCCAGGAGTACATAGCGATTAGCATTACAACTTTGTTTTCAGTATTCTTTCCCTTAATAGGTTTAAATACACCCAATCAACCTATTAGCCTTTTAATAGATGCCATACTGAAGAGACATTTGCATTCTATTATCACTTCTGATTTTAGTTTCTTTTCTCAGAGGTTCCTTCAAATTCCTGATCCTAATTTTTTTCTCAAAGTTTAATTTTATATTGCCATAAGCTGTCTAGCAATCGACATGACTAAACCTATGGAGGTTTTTCAACCTTTACTAAGCATTAGCAAATTTTTCAAACCTGCAATATTTGTCTACTGGGATCTCTTAATAATTTCTCTCCATTATGAAGGACAGCCTTCCATTACTATCATTTCCTATTGGTATACAAGTTTTGAATTCACAAGTTTTGCTTCTTCTTGCTGCTATTAATTTCAAAGCTGTGAAAAGTGCTTAAGGGACTTAGAAGTTGATGTTTCATTTCCAAAATGACCTCAGCATGTAAGATTTTAAGTCACTTAGATACTTTTGAAAATTTCTGAAACTTTTCTATTATACTATTCATAAGACGTAATGGCTTAAGGTGGAACAGTTAATCCTTTAAAAAGTTATGCTTTTGTACCATATTCATTAGAGGTGCACCGATACATCGGTCCATATCACTGCACTGATAAAAGGAAAATTGACATTATCAGCAATCAGCATTTTTTGGCTGATGTGGCCGATAATGTCACGGATAAATGCGTGCAGCCACAGCATGTATGCAGCCAGCCCAACAGCTTGGAAAGTCTGTTATGGGGAAGGGGTGTGGGAAGGTGTGTAATAGGGGCAGATTGAGGCACCCATGGTAAGGGAGGGAGTGGGGCAGCACCTGATGCAGGGACAGGCACTGCCCAGCTGAAGTGGGGTGTAGGATTTTCATAGATGTCATAGACATTAGGGCTGGAAGGGACCTCGGAACATCATTGAGTTCAGCCCCCTGCCCGAGGAGAAGGAAGTCAGCTGGGGTCATGGGATCCCAGCAACATAAGCATCCAGATTTCTCTTCAAGGCGTTCAAGGTAGGTCCTTGAACCACCTCCAGTGGCAGGCTATTCCAGACCTTAGGGGCTCAGACAGTGAAGAAATTCTTCCTTATGTCCAGCCTGAAATGGTTTTGCAGGAGTTTATAACTGTTCAACCTTGTCATCCCTTGGGGTGCTCTGGTGAACAAATGTTCCCCCAGATACTGGTGGTCACCTCTGATAAACTTATAGGTGGCCATCAGATCACCCCTGAGCCTGTGCTTTTCCAGGCTAAAGAGCCCCATGGCTCTCAGCCTGTCATTGTAAGGTCTATTTTCCTGACCTCTGATCATGCATGTGGCTCTTCTCTGGACTCTCTCAAGCTTCTCCACATCCTTTTTGAATTGTTGAGCCCAAAACTGGATGCAGTACTCCAGCTGCGGCCTCATCAAAGCCGAGTACAATAGGAGAATGACATCCTGGGATTTGCTTGAGAAGCATCTATGGATGCAAGCCAGCATTTTGCTCACTTTACTAGCCACAGCATCACATTGAAGGCTCCTGTTCATCGTGTGGTCAATGATGACCCTCAAGTCCCTTTCATCCATAGTGCTGGCTAGCGTAGCACTGCCTAGCCTATAGGGATGCTGCTGGTTTTTCTTCCCAAGGTGGAGAACCTTGCATATTAGCAATCAAATCGGTATCGGCCTTAAAATTCTTTATCGGTGCACCCCTAGTGTTCATATGTCTATGAACTTATAGAGCAGAATTAGGCATATCTTTTTTATATTTTCCTTATTTATCCACATGATTAGATTAGTGAGGGGCAGAGCCAAAGACTTCAGTTTACAATTCTGCCAATATAAGCTCAACATTTTCTTAAAGACAACTTAGATTTCATACTTACTCAGTTTTAGCTCAGTACTTCTCAATCTTTTTAGACTCAAGGAACCCCTCAGAAAGTGTCAGCAATTAGTTTTCACTTAATTTTTTACTACAGAAAAATACTAAAGCATTTTTTCTGTTGCAGAGAGCTCAGAAATATCACAACACTATGGATATTCTTCTTTGAAATCTCTGGGATTAGCTCATGAATTATGTTTGCACATTTAACAGTGCTGACATTACATGATATCCCTTGGCACCCCTGAAAGAATCTTAAGGCACCCCAGCATGCCATAGCACCTTGGTTGAAAATCACTGCCTTAGCCTCTTGCATAAAAGATTGTCAACTAGGATGTCAACCTCTGATAATAGTTTCCACTTCCTCCCCTACCCCCACAAAAAAGGAGTCTGTTTTCTCTGCTCTCCATTCTTTCCCATTTAAAAACCAGTACTTACAGTCCTAACAATAGGCAACTGTTTTTCACCCTGCCAAGAGAGCTATCTTGTTGAACAATATGAAAAGAGGAGTAGTATTTATTGAAGGCTTGCTAGATAACATTATAAAGAACATAATCCATTATGTTTTGTTTAAAACATGTATCCCTTTCTTCTGAATGATAAATTTGGGCACCTTTGTTTATACAGGACAGTTAAAAACAGTTATACACTGAAATGGATGTGGCATATGACCAACTGAACTTTACACAATTTGAAACAGTCCATTGTCCTAGCTGCCAGCAGGAGGGTTCAGTATTAAGAGTGTGGTCAGGAGTAAAAAGGTAAGAAAGGTTTATTGACTTAACAAACATACAACTACGTGTAGTATAACAAAACAAGAATGACAGATAATAACAATTTGAGTCGGCAACTTATTGGCAGTCCCCTCTGATGCTTGATATATGACAAGTTCCTCTTCTATAAAGCTCAGCGAAGTCAGGCGTTCCCGATCTATGCTGTCTGACGGGTACCAGGAAGGACCCTGGTATCCAGTCTTCCGGCTCCTCGAGATCCACTGTCCCACTGAATTCAGGTCAGCAGCTAATCTTTGAATTAGTAGCTTTTCTCACAATGCTTCATCTTCCTTCTGCTGATTTCTGGATGTGCTAGCCAATTTATAACTTCTGAGCTATGGTGTTGACTCACAGCCACTCTCACTCTTACACTATGAATTTTCCTTATGGCTGATAAATAGCAGTACAAACCTTTGCATTTTTCTGATAAGGTTAATTTTACTATGTCACTACATGCAAGGCCTTACTACTTTCAAGGCCTCACTAATCTTACAAGGCCTCACTAATCATTTACTTTAATTAAACTCTTAGTGGCAACATACAGCTTACAATGCATAAACAAAAAACAAGAAATACCTGGTCTAATCCTCACAGGGTATTCAGCAAGCACCTTCACCACACAGACATAACTCTCAGCTGTCACAGTCCATATCCTTTTTTTTGAATTTTCTACCAGCATCAAGCTTTCACAATCAGTACTTCTTAAGGAATTAGATTTTTCTGGTATTGCTAAGAATGGCAACATTCATCTTTTCAATATTCTGTAATCTATGTAATTAACAACTGTATTTGAGAATGATTGGGAGAATACACACGTTAGATATCTTTGTTACTACTGTTGATTTTTATGGGGGACAGTAAGATACTCTGGTAGTTGGCAGCACTATGAAACACAGGAATTGCCACACACAGTCACAATTATGGTCCACCTACTCCAGCATTCAAACTCCAACAATGGCATACTTTTCAACTTTTTCTATGTGGAAAAGATGCATTATGCTTAGAAACAGAAGTTTTAATACTGATACTTCTTTCTTGAGCATAGAATGTCCTTGAAGCATTGTGTTTTCAGTCAAGTACAGCATAAAATATACCTATAAAAGTATCTATATACCATCACATACCATAAGCATCTTCCACCATGACCCCCAAAATCAGCCCTCCAAATTTGGAGTGCGTCTTAAGCAGGGAAGCAGATTTTTCACCACTGGAATAGAAGCAAGTGCTCTAATGGCTGTGCTCTAATAGCTACCAAAATGGCTCTATTTCTTTCTGGCCCAGCAAACAGAACAGACAGAGTCCAGTGCTAACCCTCTCTCAGCTGCTAAGGAATCTGCAGTTCCTATTGGTTGAGCACTGTACTAAACAACACTTTATTATTTACAGGACCTTACATAAAAAAACTTTTTAGAGGAAAGAAATAAGGGTTTGCTACCATTTTCACTCTTTTCAGAACCTTTTGAAAGGGTGTGAGGCCTAGCCTGGCTGGTGTCTTGTCTTAACAGAAAGTTCCTATCTCACCCACATCTTCCTTCCAAAATAATAGGAGCACATCTTTTTTGGAAGCATGTGATATTAAATAAAAATATGGTATAAACTGAGGAAAACACAAAAGACCTTCCCTAAAGTTTTCTTTTTCAATCTTAGATGAGAGATTTTGATAATGTATTATAGGTTTATAGTGAATCTTAGTCTCAGTCGAATTGTATATTTCAGTCTCTGTCATAACAGGTAGGAGATCTATCAGATAAGGGAAAACAACAATTAAAAAACCTATTTCATCCTTTTAATGATAGAAGGAGAAGTTTCTTCTCCAGTTTTCCTAACAAGTCCCAATAGATGACATTTTTTCCTCATAGCAAATAATAGAAAGGGGTTATATTGCAAGAAAGCACATCTTTTGAGTGTTGTGTAAAGCAAGCATTTATTCACTGAGAGATGCATTTTCAAATATCCTGAACTGACTTGTGAGCACAAAGTCCCACTGACTTTCAGCTTGCTAGAAAACTTGTTACTATGGGACTTATAATGGACACCCATTATAAATAAGTTATCATTATAAGCTGCTCAGTTATTTAGGTACCTTAGAAAATCATACAAATACAAAGTAAGGTCAATACTTTCAACTTTAGACACCCTAATCTGGTCTCCTAAATCCATATTTAGATATATAATAAACAGTAACAACAGGATATCTCAAGTCAGATGTGGGGCCCTCGCTCTTTTCAGAAGTCTCAAACTGGCTCCTCTTCTTCAGCCAAGCACATCTCGGTATCCATCTAACTTTAAACCCTTTTAAAAAAAAATTATCCAGGAAACTATGGAAACAAATTTCTAACGCAGAAGGAATATACAGGAAGTGCATAAGGATGAAGTTATTATATCTTGCAAAGTTTTGCAAATCTAATAATACACAATTCTAATAAATTATCACCTCTGCTATCTAGATAATTATTTAATTAGCATTCAAAAATATCATTAACATTCAAATTTTCACACCTTTCTTAAGGGTTAAATTTTGTCATGCCCTACATCTTTTTTTTCCAGATGTATATTTTATGGTGCAGTTTTAATCTGAAACCTATTTTTGGAAATTTTATCAAGACTCAGCAGCTGGGACTTCTAAGAGTGTTCATCGTTGGTCTAACTACTCACATTTAAATCAATGGGTCGCTCAGGCTGATACACTGAGCATTTCTATAACCCCACCTAACAGGTATTTCAATAGATCATCTTTTCAAATCATCTTGAAATATAAGCACAAAAATCTAAGCTGATGAAAGGGAAATAAAAAGAGCTGGGAAATATAGGGACAGAATGGAATTACCAATTTAGAGATTTCTCATTTACTGCACAATTTTCATGTAATCCAGTTACACCTCCCCAAAATTGTACTAAATCATCATGAACTGAGCTTATATTTCTTCAGAAAAATGCCATTTTGCCCACATACATAAATCAATGCTACTGGAGTTGATTTAACCAGTTATTTAAACATAATTCTCTCACACAAATTACAGCTTGTGTTATCCATTTCTTTTGCAAATGAGATTATTAAATTTCAAGATAATCATGACTATTAGAGTGAGAGTTGCAGACAGCATGTTCATAAACTTGCCTTCACTTTCAGAATCTGATTTAATATAAGACTTTTATAAAGACAGTACTGTGCCATGTGACAAATATCACAATTATTACCTGATATATTCAATATCAGACTACCAAAGATAGGATGCACAAAATTTCTGGTTCATCCAAACACAAGCATGAGCATTATCTTTATATATTACATACTTACTTTTGAACCCCTTCCATATTTTCTTCAGATAAAACACATATTTGCGTCTCAGAAAGAAAATTCCAAGCTGTAATCTCTCCAGTTATAGTATCTTGATCTTGACCTTCTTCCTACAAAAAAGTATGCTATTTTACAACATTATTTTATTTCCAAGGTATTTTACAGAATATACATAAAGGTATAATTCACCAAACATCAGAAAGGAAATTTTATGTCAGCAATACTATGCAGTAATGAAGCTGGGGAAGAGACAGAAATTATGAGGATGCCTGAAAAAAATTTGCTTGTCTTAAACCAGGTTTAACTGGTAACTCAGTATTATATCATAGGCAATGTAAGATAAAACTAGATGTCTGCATAAATAATTGTTCTGTGCAAAATGGCTAGTATTCACTTCGGATTTGCCCAATTCGGGAGACAGTAATTCAATTCGGTGATTCAAATCAGTGTCCCAAATTGATTCGGCCGCATCTGATTGAGAGATTCGGCCACTGCCGAATCGACCAAATCTCTGAATCAGTCCCATCCCCACCCACTCTCAATGGCTGCCCCACCTCCTCTCCCAGCTCGTGGCTCCTAGAAAAACAAACAGAAAAAGCCCGCACTCACCACCCGCTGCCCCCCTGCTGCATGGGGAGCTCTGCCACGAGCCCCCAGATTGCCCTCACTCTCCCAGCCCCCCCCAAGGCTACCCCACCTGCCCCAACTCCTGGCCCTTTAAAAAAAGCCCCAACTAACCAGCTCCT